CCCCCACTAGTCTATGGCTATAAGTCTAATCGGTGTTGTAAATTTACAAGAACTGTATTTTTTTGAAGCAACATCACTGAGGCCTTCAGTTCTTGAAGTTGGGCCAAATTAAAAGTTTCACCTTAGACAAGCCGACTGCTGTCTTTGTCAACGTGAGGGTCCCGAGACAATTCTATTTCAATAGTTCTTCAAGCTGGTGCCGCAATTTTTTAGCGATCTGGCAAAGTCTAGCCATCCTCCCGTATGTGTTGGGCGTGCGGTATTAGAGAAACTGCTCATCAGTAGCCAAACAGAAAAAACGCGGTTGATCCCTACGTGATAGCAATCAATATACCAAAAAATTCAAACGTTTTCTTACGGAAAGAATTAAATGTTTATGTACAATGCTAGAAGACAGCTTGCACGGCAAGAAACTGGTGCTAAAATACTTACGCTGATGATTCTATGATTTCATCACAACTTGCCGTGCACTCTAGGATTAGGACATCTGTCCTTAAAAATTGCAAATAAAGTTAGGGCATTTTCCAATTCACAAATACAACGCAGTTTTTATGCGCATTATTCAGGTGATTTTACAAAGTGGCGCGTTTTGCTAATAGAGACGTGAGGATCTACCATAAGCTTTAATAATATATTCGGAATGTATACAAAGCGTTCCAGGAAATGCTGAGATGTTAGTGCACTTGCATTCTGTAAATATTTCATCTAAACAGCTAGTCACCAGGAATTATGCGGCCGTATATTCCGATTCGCTTGAAGTGCTGGCCCGATCAAACACCGCCTCACAAGCGGTAAGTTTAACTTACGTGGGAGGACTATTGATAACAACCGTTTGCCGAACGATTGAAATTCAAAATCATCGTTGGAATGGTTTCGATGGTGCTCTTAGCGACATGACCCACGTATTAGTTAAACAGTGTTCGCCTCAACGAGACAGCGTCTGGTCTCGAAGGTCATATCGACATACAAGTTAATGAAGCTCGGGTGCAGTTGTTACAGCGCCGTTGCTACGTTGCTGCACGAAGTTTTTGCAATAAACCTCAACTCGTTTTTTAGGGAAACAAAGCCCCGAAATTAGTGTGATGAAAGCGTCAAACTTCATTACGAGTGAGATATTACATAAAAAAAGTCACAGCTTTACCGCAAAGGCGAAGCAATGAACGCAATAGCAACAAATTGGAAGGTCACGCGCAGAATGGCAAGCAGATTGAAACGTGCCCCGCGTTTCTCGCGCACAAAGACGCACGAAACGTACTCACAGGTACAGATTAACGCGAATAAGCGTCTCAGTTGTTTCTTCGCTTTGTCTGAAAAGCGCGCCCTTTTCGCAAACGAAGGCTGTGCAACAATTGCAGTGACTTTTGTGCGCCTGGTAAGTATAACAGAATCGTTCCGAGGAAACTCAAAGGCTAGTCAAGACGTTCGATAAGAGCACGCGTTTGAGCGTATACAGTACACCTCCTTATTCTGCACGCGGGTCAAAGTATGCGTGAGAGATGAGAGCCGCCACGCGCTCACTGCGCCATCTTGCTGATAATGCTGAAAACACGATATTATCCACCGAGATGCCCGCCAAAGCGGTAAGTGGTAGATATGAATAGCTTACCGTTTGACCTCTCAGTGGCTCAGAGCTCAGTACCTCTCAGTGGCTTAGTGGTTAACGCCCCGCATTCATGATGCGGATGGTCCCACGTTCAAATCCGTGCTCCGGAGTCTAATTTTCTCGAATTTTTTCTTTCTTGCGTTTTCATATATATAGACACGTATGCATATACAGTGCATGACATCGATGCTGACGCCGACGCTCCCGCCAACGCTGGCGGCGAAATCCAGCCGAGAGTGTTCATATAATTGCTATAGCAATAAAAAAAACCGATACAACAGCTACAGCTACGATTGAATTTTCAGTCATGCACTTTGCAGATGCCTTGCGAGCCTCACTACTGCATGGGTTTTCGCACAGTGCGTAGAGCTTGGTACACAGGCGAAAAAAAAAAAATACTGCGGCCAGATAGTAACATGTGTCCGATACAAATACAGCTTTCGGAAGTGAGGGCATCATATATGAAAAAAAAAAAACCGCTCGGGAAGAAAGGGCTGTAATGATGTAACTACACTGTGATATATGTAAAAATCCCGGCTTGAATGCGGGACACGCTGTAGAATAACCTCTGTATCATAGCACAAACATGCCCTTGCTTTTCACTCATGTCTGTATGCAGCTGCCGCGGCCGAGAATCGAACCATTCCTCGAGTTTACCAGCACGAGAACACAAACCTGATGGAAGTGTATGGTGGAGCACGGTAACCATTGGTGATTTTACTGAACAAAGCTTTTTGGCTGTTTCACTAGGAGCATTATGTTTTCGTCATTCATTTGAAGCTAGAGTCAAGTGAAAAACGACCGCAAAGAGCGTAACAGCGTACGATGCCAGCGCATGTCATAGTAGGCGCGCCATGGCAGGCCTCGAAGCATACTTGCCGTGACGTCATCTCACCAGGTGGCGCCACCCCAACCTTTCGGGGCTAATAGGCAGGCGCACAACGCAAATCAATGCTGTGGGTGCGGTGAATGCTTGTGCTACGGTGGCCACCTAGCGGTGTGTTAAAGGGCCAGTAAACACGCTCCAACTTTTTTTTACACCCCCCTTACAAGCTCGGCAATTCGTAGATTAGACCACAGCGATCACGTTTTCTGAATGTTACAGCGCTGCGCCCCGCGCAGAGCCTCTATTTCGAAAAAAACAATTCCCGTGCTTCTTTCCTACGCCTGTCCGACCCCCTTGCACGCGCAGTGACGTCAACTCAGCGATCGGCGACGTGACGTAGCACGCAGCTCGCCGATTGGTCTAAATAAGGTGTGAAAAACAGTAGTGAAGTCAACATCAGTTCCTGCTCCCACGAACAGCTACGAAACTGGCCCTTGTTTTTTTTTGCACTGTGGTGAAAGAACCAGCCTCGCAGTCGTCGAGTGAACGTGTACACTCCTCGCTCAACCAAAGCGCGTGTGCGCACATACGAACATACATTCGCCCTTCAGATGAGCAACACGGGTAAAAAGCGTTGCTCTGTCGTCGGCTGCGAATCGAGCGACTGGGCAGCGGAGAAGCATCGGCACCGGGTGCCTCATGATGGGGCCCAGCCCGCTGCATAGCTGAAGCCAATATGCCATCCAGCGACGTACGTAGGGGACCTGATCGTTTGTGGTCGACATTTCGCACGAGACGCTTACGCGGTTGACTCGTGGCTGGTGCGGCCAACGGTAGTCAAACAAGCACGCTTCGCAGCAAGCGGAAGTGCATTGCGACTGATTGAGCACGTCAATGACGTCAATCGCTGACGTGGCGTCACGTTGCCGAACTGAGCGGTAGTGGTTGGAAGATGAGAAAAGGCACCTAATTTCTGCAACCTGGTCGGGAGCACGGCGCAGTGCCTGAAGTGAGCGGAGTCACTGACTATGGGCTACGCCTTTCCCTCCATGGAAGGCAGAAGAGGGGCGAAGCCGCGCGAAAATTTGAAACCAGCTTAGACCGATGTTATAAACCCTGTAACTGTCTTAATATAGACCGTATTCGCAAACTTACTGCAGCAGCATGTTCGCAAAGAAAAACTGCACATATATCTCTCTTTGAAAATTTTTGGACCTCAGGGCTGTTTACTGGCCTTTAAGGCGTTCGTAAAATTGCATTTTGCTTTTGGAAACCTGCTGATTTCAATGGACACGCGTAGCTACGCGTTGCAGGAGCTAATAGCGGTGGACATGGCCATGATTCATACCTTCACCGCCGACTGAAAGCCCTGTCGGAGGAGAGTGTGTGATATAAAAGGTGAGTTTGTACAGCCTCCAGAGCATGCGACCATGGCGAAGTGTAAGCGTACCCAGCTTAGGTGTCGTGGAACGTGACGTCACGAGTTTGTCTCCCGTCGGGATATTCTTTTTTGTGATCTTATTGTGTGCGCTTTTTGGTGTCATTTCTGCGATTGAAATTCATCACGGAATCGCTAGTGTGCCTTTTCTTGGTTTGTCACGTATCCAACGACTATAAGGACAGAAGTTACTGACGCAATATTATGCTTTGTGTGAGGCCTAATTTATACCCCTTAACATCTTTCAGGCTTTGCACAGTACATTCATACCGTATACTAACATTTGGTTAACCTCCCTGCTTTCTTTTTTTCTCTAATTTCTCTTTAGCAAAGTACAAGATGCAAGAGCCATAAGTAATATTGCTTTATTACTTCAGAAATATGCTAAAATGACCAGAATTCGCTGCTCACGTTTGAGAAAAAACAGCGCTAGTATGTGGATTCGCTAGGACTTATCAAGCACTACGTCCCGAGAATAGTTCAGGAAGCTTTTTCAGTGGACCAAACCACGAAGATTTTTCTTCATCTTCAGGCTTGCTGTTTTGTTCTTCACTAGAAGACGAGCCAGATTCTGAGGTCGTCCCGTTGGAGTCTGCCTCCTCTTCATGCTTTCCATCTCGGCTACCACTGTTTTCATCGGTCATGCTTGAACCAGATTCCGCAGTAGTCTCGTTTGAACCTTCTTTTTCTTCTTTCTCTTCATCCTTGTTGCCATCGTTTGCTTCGGTTGAGATTGAGCCAGATTTGGTAATGGTCTCCCCGGAGTCAGCCTCGTCTTCACGCTCTTCACCTTGCCTTCCACTCTTTATTTCAGTTGTAGTTGAGCCTGATTCTGTCGTCATCTCATAAAAGACTTCATCTTTGCGCTCTTCATCTTGGCTGCCACTGGTTGGCTTTGCCTGAGGATGAGCTAGATTTTGTAGGAGTTTCGTTGGAGTCTTCCTGCTCTTCATGCTCCTCATCTTGGCTCCCACCTGTTTTTTTTCGGTTTCGATTGAGCCAGCTTCTGTAGTTTTGTTGGAGTCTTCCTCCGTTTCTGCTCTTGGCTTCCACTGCTTGCTTCAGACCAATTTGCGTCAGTTTCTGCAGCTTCGCTGGTGGATTGCTGCTCTTCGTTCCATTTATCTTGGCTTTCACTGTTTCTTCGGTTCGGTTGGGTCACTTTCTGTAGTTTCGTTGCAGTCTTCATCCGTTTCGGGCTCTTCATCTTGGCTTTCACTGTCGGATTCAGTCGTGTTTGGGCCAAATTCCGTACTTACGTTCTCGGAGTTCTGCTCTTCATTCCTTCCTCTTGGCTTCCACCGTTTTCTTCAGTTATGGTTGAGCCTGATGGTTTAGTTTTCTTGGAGTCTTTGTCCTCGTCATCTTGGTCTCCACTGTTTTCTTCGGTTGTCGTTGAACCACATTCGGTCGTTTCATTGGCGTCTTTGTCATCTTCGTGCTGGTCATCTTGGCTTCCACTGTTTTCTTCGGTTTTGGTTGAGCCAGCTTCTGTTGTTTTGTTGCAGTCTTTGTCCGTTCCATGCTCTTCATCTTGGCTTCCACTGTTGGCTTCAGTCAAGTTTGAACCAGTTTCTGCAGCTTCGTTGGTTGATTGCTGCTCTTCGTTCCATTCATTTTGGCTTTCACTGTTTTCTTCAGTTTCGGTTGAGCCAGCTTCTGTGGTTTCGTTGCAGTTTTCATCTGTTTCGGGCTCTTCATCTTGGCTTTCACTGTGGGATTCAGTCGTGTTTGGGCCATATTCCGTACTTACGTTCTCGGAGTTCTGCTCGTCATTTCCTTCATCTTGGCTTCCACCGTTTTCTTCGGTTATGGTTGAGTCAGATGGTTTATTTTTCTTGGAGTCTTTGTCCTCGCCATCTTCGCCTCCACTGTTTTCTTCGGTTGTCGTTGAGCCAGATTCGGTCGTTTCATTGGTGTCATCGTCATCTTCGTGCTGGTCATCTTGGCTTCCACTGTTTTCTTCGGTTTTGGTTGAGCCAGCTTCTGTTGTTTTGTTGCAGTCTTTGTCCGTTCCATGCTCTTCATCTTGGCTTCCACTGTTGGCTTCAGTCAAGTTTGAACCAGTTTCTGCAGCTTCGTTGGTTGATTGCTGCTCTTCGTTCCATTCATTTTGGCTTTCACTGTTTTCTTCAGTTTCGGTTGAGCCAGCTTCTGTGGTTTCGTTGCAGTTTTCATCTGTTTCGGGCTCTTCATCTTGGCTTTCACTGTGGGATTCAGTCGTGTTTGGGCCATATTCCGTACTTACGTTCTCGGAGTTCTGCTCGTCATTTCCTTCATCTTGGCTTCCACCGTTTTCTTCGGTTATGGTTGAGTCAGATGGTTTATTTTTCTTGGAGTCTTTGTCCTCGCCATCTTCGCCTCCACTGTTTTCTTCGGTTGTCGTTGAGCCAGATTCGGTCGTTTCATTGGTGTCATCGTCATCTTCGTGCTGGTCATCTTGGCTTCCACTGTTTTCTTCTGTTTTGGTTGAGCCAGATGGTTTAGTTTTCTGGGATTCTTCGTCCTCTTCCTGCTCGTCGTCTTCGTTTCTACTGTTTACTTCGGTTTTGGTTGAGCCAGCTTCTGTTGTTTTGTTGCAGTCTTTGTCCGTTCCATGCTCTTCATCTTGGCTTCCACTGTTGGCTTCAGTCAAGTTAGAGCCAGTTTCTGCAGCTGCGTTGGTGGATTGCTGCTCTTCGTTCCATTCATTTTGGCTTTCACTGTTTTTTTCGGTTTCGGTTGACACAGCTTCTGTTGTTTCGTTGCAGTCTTCGTCCACTTCGTGCTCTTCATCTTTGCTTCCACTGTTGGCTTCGGTTGTGTTTGAGCCAGATTCTGTACTCACGTTGTCGGAGTTCTGCTCTTCATTCCCTTCATCTTGGCTTCCACTGTTTTCTTCGCTTATGGTTGAGCCAGATGGATCGGATTCTTTATTCACTCCCTGCTCGTTGTCTTGGTTTCCACTGTTTTCTTCGGTTATTGTTGAGCCTGATTGTTTAGTCTTGCTGGATTCTCCTTCCTCTTCATGGGCTTCATCTTGGCTTCCAACGTCTTGATTCGTTGAGGTTGAGCCCGAGTCTGCAGTCTCCTCATTGCAGTCGTCCTCCTCTTCGCGCTCTTTATCGTTGCTGCCACTATTCGCATTGGTGTAGACTGTGCCAGGTTCTGCAGTGATTGCGTTGAAGTGTTTTTTATCTTCTTCGTTCTGTTCGTCTTGGCTGTCCTTGTTGGTTTCAGCTGAGATTAGGCCACATTCTGTAGTAGTTCCGGTGCTTTTTTCTCCTTGTTCGGGCTCATCATCTTGACTTTCAATGTTTTCTTCGGTTGAGGTCGGGCCAGAAACATTAGTTTCGTTGGAGTGTTCGTCCTCTTCGTGGACATTGTCTTGGCTGCCACTGTCTGTTTCGCTTGAGTTTGTGCCGGATTTCATGGTATGTTTAGAGTCTTCGCCCTCTGCAAGCTTCTCAACTTGGCTTGCACTGTCTGCTGCGGGGATAGTTGAGCCTGATTCTGTATTCGCCTCATCGCAGTCTTCCTCCTGGTCATTTACTTCGTCTTGGTGGCTGTTGTTGCTTCCATTCAATGTTGATGTGCTCGTCTCTGCATCACTTCTGCTACTTTCAATTAAGGGTGTTGGCTTTCGAGAGCCCCCATCAGAAAACTCATTTTCGTCTGGTTCAGAGTGCTCAGATGATGTTCGCTCATGTGGCGCGGTATGGCCTGGAAGTCGAAAGAAGAAACGTTTTAGAATAAGCTCTAGATTTAGCACAAAATATATAGCAGGCTCAGCATTAAGGTAAAATAACAAATACATACACTAACAGAAATTGAAAGCTATCAATGACAACATTTGTTAAACTTAGTGCCACTTGGTAAGAATGGTTCTGCCACTTTAAGGCACGAAACACAACGAACGAGTACAATGGGCTTTTTTATATATTGACAACTTTTCTGCTTATCAATTGTACTGGCAATGATTTTCCTCATCGTAATATAACCGAAGCAGTTAGAGTGTTGTTCGTTATTATAGTAAGATGTTATTACCTTTTTACACACCACAGATTAAAAAAAAAACATGCTTACAATCAAAGTCCTATCACCTTTTCTCCTCTCGTTTCATAGACGGCGTTGGTCCAGTGGAAATGTGTGAAACTGGACGGACAAACGTACGCACGGACGGACGGACGGAAGCATGGAAGTATTCCTGGGCGAGCGGACGGACGGACAGAAGCATGAACAGATGGATGAAAGGATGCTCGAGAGACGCATGGATGGACGAACGAACGCAGGGACGGACAGACGGATGGATGCTTCGCACCACTCATCATCCTTCACTGCATGAATATTCTCTGAATTTTATAGTTGATACAGAACAGTGGTTATTTATTGTACAGGGCCTCACTCTGTTTGATATACGCGCATCATAAGACGCTGCTGGCGCGTTCATAATCGATCGTGAAGCCTTGTATAATTCCATGACGAACGATCACAGTCGTGTATCAACTAAAGAACTTTTGAAAGCTGGTCGAGCAGTGGCGCGTAAGCACGCGTATATTTAATAGTTAACGTGTTTTATGCGCTTGCATCTTTTTCAAACAAACAAAAAAAGCTCCAGGCCTGCGCGGAATGCGTAGCAATCATAACAGCAAAAGCAGGAAGAGTAGCCTTTGAGAGACATTTCAAAACTATATTTCGGCAACTGCTACAAGGACACTTGCAGGGTATCCACTATGCCATAAATATTCATAATTTTTATGTAGTAGGGAGGAAATCATGACGCTATCCTGCGTCAGTCTTCGAAGAAGTGTGGCACCCAATACTGCCTTGGAAGGAATTCTGTGCAGTTCTTTTTTTATTGTGTGGCTGACGATGGCGAAGATTTATGTCTGAGCCTTTTGTAATGGATTACAGCATTCGATAGCCTACTCGTTACGCAATTCGCATTGTATGTCGCCTGGTTATTTCTTTTGCTGTTCTGAAACGCGCTATTCTCATATTAACGCGTTTCCTTTCTCTACGTCAAGCCTGCCTAAGGGCAATTTGCATCGCGCCTTTCTAAGCACCAGTGTAGCTCAGTGGTAGAATACTGGGCTGGTACGCATGTAGTCGAGATCAAACCACATACGGTCCTTACTGTGTTTTGTTGACGAAGTCATTTTTTTTCTGATTTTGCGCGGTGGTGGTTACGGACACCAGCCACACACAACTGCGCGGTACACGCGAACTATGTTATGACCTCATAACAGCTTACACTGTAAACAAGACATTTGCGTAGCTTCTTCGGCTAGGAGTCTCACTTCCGCCGCTTCATCAGCTGCGTGGCCATTTCACAAGCTGATGACGTCAGACACAGCATTCACTTGAACGGACAGCTATACAAGCAAGTTATATTCTTATGTTGTGGGCCGAAGCTTTATAGAATGAACTGACGGCTAGAAGTTTTTGGAAGTCATTCTCTTGCATCATGATGCACCTTGTCGGCTCGTCAGTGGTTGCAGCGAGACTTTCTGCACAGGATGCTTAAAGAAGTACTGAGAATTTGGGGCACAGTTCACAAAATGGCATGTGCCTACAACCCCCAAACTGGCGTATAAACTGCATGGTTGCACTAGCCGGCTCGATATCAGTTCACATTGAACTAAACCACCATAACTAGGACGTTTCTGTCAATTGTGTGAAATGCCGCCATCGTACAAAATACCAGGCAATCACTTTTCTGCATCGTCTGTCCTCATTTCACTAACAATCGCCATCGTCTTTCTTCAATGTACTAACGAAAACATCTAAGACTAAATCTGATGAGCTTGTCTCTAGAAGGAATAAATGTTGTCAACGCAATCCCCTCAGCACAACTCTTCCATTTCTATATTTGTAAAACTTTGAACCACTCATTTTCACCTGCGGCCAATAGCAGTCGCGTCTTCATTAACGAACTAGCGACCAAACAACAGTTGAAGGTGATCGATGATCATCCTACTGGCTAGTGTGATGTAACAATTTTTCCACTGAATTTACGTCTGCTCGTAGCGCCCTTTTTTTAGAAAATGAACGGACCATTTCATTCTGCGCATCCTATTGGTTGAAAGACTCGTGACTGCTGTTTGTGCAGAACAAAATGAAACAGTGAGTGAATGAACTGGAGCTTTTCTGCTTAAAGCAGCATCTACGACTAGTTCTAGATGACAATAAAATAAAATCTTTAGAATGGAATAACGGCGCAGCTTTAATGTACCCTCAAACGTCTGAAGAAATGGGAGCAAAGCAATATAACAACGCATTTGTAGTTTTTTCCTATTCGTGTTTTATTTTTTCTATGTGTGGTACGTGTTGCTAGAGCTATAGGTGCCATCTTGCTACAAGTATAAAATGAGTGGGCTGTTGATTGGTATGTGGGGTTGAACGTCCCAAATCTACCTATAATTTTGAGAGACACCGTAGTGGAGGAGTCCACAAATTTTGATCACTGGGTTCTTTAACGTGCACCCAAATCTGAGCACATGGCCTGAAGCCATTTTCACCTCCATCAAAAATGCAGCCGCCACAGCTGGAACTTGACCCAATGACCTGCGGGTCAGCAGCCGAGTACCTTAGCCACTAGCCCACCACGATGGGGCTGAGTGGTTGCTGATCTCTACCTATTGAGATTGTGAGAATTTTATGAATAAGTATTTCCTGTACCTGATGAGTACAGTGGCGTCCGAAGACATTTTAAGTGATACCTTCAAAATGTCGTACATCATTACCTGCTCCTAAATAGCGTTGCTTAGTGTACCTGGATTTCCATCAATTGATAAATAAACGAAATGTGCAGCTGTAGTAATTAATATTAATTATCTAGAAACCAAACCAGCAGCTAACCTAAGTTCAGGAGAACGAATGCGGCCAGGGCGACGAAGACGAGCCGGGGTCTCATTTCTCCTTCAGTAGGACCTGAAATGAAGACGCATGATACTGTTCACGTGACCATTTTATTAAGACGCACTGTTTCACTTTGAAATCGATCTGCGTGCACCATCTAAAGGTAGGCGAAAAGCAATGCTGAACACCAAATTTGAAACGCACTACAACTGTCATTTGATATATCTCATGCTTCAAAAGTACACCCCATGAAATGCTGGATGTAAGTCGTACGTCATGGGGTGTACTGTAGGTCGCAGTGGGCTCAGTAGAGATAAGAAAAAAACAGCATTTTAGCGATTCAAAATTCACTGAACCAATTTTCGCAACAGCCTAACCAGTTGTATTTCAGAAGTTGCACGTGCCGACATCCTTACTTGAGTATTCGATGCACGTATCCGCGCAATAATTGCGCAGTGCAGTAGCTTTGTTAGAGGACCAATCCACGAAACGCAATGTGGTGCCTGAATAATGCGCATTCTCTGTAGGAGCCAAGCTTGGTGTGTTTAAGCGAGCGAGCCTTTGTATGGATGCAAGAACACGTTATAGCGACAGTCTTGGCAGTCAAATTTGGAATATTAATTTCTTTTCACACCACTTTTGCTCATGTAGGAGACCCTTCATGTCAACTGATTGTGAAGTGGAGAAAGCGGGTGTGGTTGGAGAGATATTTAGGCCCGCGATTTCGTGAAAGGAGTGAAATCGAACGTAATGTAAAAGGTAGAACAATTACGCAAACGAGTGGCTATCGAAGGTGTACCAAATGTGTGTGTGGTGTCTCTTCTGTGGTAATTTGTTTACATTGTTGCAGTACGTTTAACTGGAACCAAATTGCGTAGAAGGAAGTATTGTCGATGTGCATACCTTAAGCTGCAGATAATATGCTTTCTTCCCAGTACATACAATTGTGATTCACATGCGAGTAACTTTAGACAAATACATATAAAGTGCCTGTGATGTATGTAAGATTTAGGTTAACGCAAGGTGCGTACCCATTCTCATATTAAAAAGCATGCTTGTTTTACTGAATGTTTGATTTCGTAAATACGTTAAATAGGCATACTTAGAGTGCTAGAAGCGGTAAAAAAAAGCTTAGGGCACCTAAGCGTTACTCAGGTTACCTCACCGGTCGCCGTTCCGAGAGTATCCCTTTTCACGCTCCCAGTGTGTGCTTCTCAATAGGGTATTCGTGAATTCTGCTTACACACTGTGCTCAATCAAGAACCAATGGTTCTTAGTTGAGCATGTGCGAGCCGCGGCCAACATCCATGAGCCCGAGTAAAGGAGTGCCAACTAGTTGTTTGTAGAGGGTGGTCCCATAAGGACCACTTCGCCCCTCTCTGTACATAACACACACAATAAATGTTTTTATCATCCTCATTATCATTATCATTATCTCGTTCACCTCTCAATTTCTTCAATACAGGACTATCTTTGAACGCTATGCTGGCGAAGAAAGTAAAACAACGTGTCTACAGTAAATGTCTAAGAGAAGCAGTTAGCAGAGTAACCATGCAAGGCTTCCGAATAACAACAAATTTTAATTGGTGAATTTGTAGGCATCGCATTTCACATTTTAACCTAATTGTTTCATTGAAATCCGAATAATTATGGCACGATTATCTAATATATGATTATCTTGAGTTATTTAGAGGTAGATGTGTGCCGGTGGCATGTATTGATACGCACTACGTCCTACGTGATTCCTGGTTTTTCATAATAGAGGCATTAAAACATATGAGCGTGTGTTCACGTGTGCGTTACTGAACTCATGTAAGTCATAATCAACGTAGATTTCAAGCTACAGCGCGACTCGGCAAGTCGTATTGTCGAATGTGCTCATTAACTAAGTGAGTACGATCTTTAGCAGCCCTGAGGGCCACGAGGGTTTAAGAAGGCAACATTTATTCATTAAAGATTTTAACCAACCGATAACACACTCTAGCACCAATGATAAGTGTCATCAATAGCCATTTAAAACCTTGAACATCAACACGTTTTCGGCTTGAATACACGAGCCATTGGGAGACTGTTAAATATTAGCAGTGATACTCACCTCGAGCACTGAAGAATGCTATGTAGGATGCGTGTTGCATTATAGAATCGTCTGCCTTTTATACAGGTTCATAGGATGGCGTGGGACTCGAAAAACTTCTACCAAAAAGAAAACAAAACACACACACACACACTAAACTACTTCCTTCAACTACATCACGAAGCATCACCGAATTGCAGAGATGCTCCATTAAGCAAGCATGACGTCAAGTTAGCCACTCAGTCAGGTACCATGAATCCTACAGCAGCCAGTACATCACAGTTTCATGCAGTAAGGCAAGTGCTCATCGCGAACGTTACGGTTGCTGCAAAATGGTACATGACAAGGTATTTTGACAATGAAGCATTAGCCTCACACCATGCCTCATTTTGAATAAATAAAATCGAGCACTGTTCGTGTACATGGGAAAGCTGTGGATTGACACAGAATCATGTTGCAATACACACGACGCACAGTAACTTGTTCCTTATTGCTTCGCAGAAGAAAGCATGTGTATTTTATAGTATTAGCGCATTGTCATGTGGCTGAAAATATAGCTTAGAATCTTTGCGTGGCAAGAAAGAGAATTCCACGCGTGGGGTCACTAACCGGAGTTATTGGATATCTCATACGTGTGATGAGACCGACAACACTCCAAGACAAAATAAATTGTTTGATGACATTTAAACTCTACGCACCACTCTACACTCTACGCCACAAATCTACACGACGCCACGACATGTAACCACGGTAATGCCGCCATTGTGCCGAGTTGATCTGGCCGATAAAACGTTTTCTCCACACATTTCAGCAGGAGCACGACATTATCGACTCCGAAGTTTTTGGGTAGCTCCGCCCATCGCGCAACACACTCCCAGTACGTGTTTGCTCTAGGGGCGAAGCTCCGAAAGTGGTGGGTCGTGTAGTAGTAGTACTAGAAGTAGTAGTAGTAGTAGTAGTAGTAGTAGTAGTAGTAGTAGTAGTGCGTTGTAGTAGCGGGTAGCCACCTCCACGGCCGGACTAAAGGAGCGGCACGTGTGCACTCTTTTGAATTGAGGAGAAAAACCGCACACGTTAATCATGAATAAAACGATTGTTGTTTCTCATGAAACAACTTAGAGGCGAGTATCGGTGACTTAATCTTTAATAAAACGTGCCTTGAATTTGATGCTTACTAAAAAAATCACAGCATATTCACAGAATAAATGATGATGAGTGGTGCGAGGCGTCCGTCACCCCGTCGGTGCTTCCATCCGTCCGTCCGTTCCTGCTTCCGTCCGTCCGCGCGACCATACGCATGTCCATCCATGCGTCCGTTCGTCTGTCCGTCCGTAGGTCCGCGCATCCATCCATCTGTCCGTCCATATTCTAGTCTGTCTGTCCGTCCGTCTGCGCGTCCATCTAGTGAACACTCTAAGTACCGCCATCTTGCATCTCGCATCCCCTGTGACAAATGACCGCTCCGTGCGTACGTCCTTCCGTCCGTCCATCTGCTATTATGTAGGTTCATCCATCTATGCGTCCATCCATGTGTCTCTCTAGTGAACACTCCAAGTACCGCCATCTCCAATCTCGCATCCCGTGTGGCACATGTCCGCTCTAGAGCGGGTATGTACCACTGGTGGCTACGTATGACAACGACGGAGGAAGGACAGACCCACACATTAAAGAACTTCGCCCCCTGAAAAACTAGTATCAGAACAACGCACTTTGAGCCCTATCTAATCTGAAAGGTTGCCACGTTAAACTCGCTCGGCGTAACTTCCTAGGTTTGAGCAAGGTTTAACGAGGGTAGGGCCGCAGTGCCATGAACTAGCCGGGGCGAAAGGTGTGAAATAGACGCAAAGTGCAGGCTGTAAGAGAGTGCGCGTGTGCCGCTCCTCAAGTCCGGCCGTGCCACCTCTCATTTACCCTTCAAATGTCCGCTGGTTGGTGGGGCTTTTATATGATGAATATATGATGAAAAGATGCGGGCTGGCGGTACTTAGAGTATTCACTAGATGGATGGACTGATGGACAGACGCACGGACAGACAGACAGACAGACAGACAGACAGACAGACAAACAGACAGACAGACAGACAGACAGACGGACAGATGCACGTACGGATGCATGGACAGATGTATGGGTGGCTGCAGGGATGACCGCATGGACGGACGCACAGCCAGATGGACGCACGGACAGACGGTTGCACAAACGGACGCACGGGCGGACGGAAGCGTGGACGGACTGACGGATGCTTCGCCCTACTCATCATCATGGAGCCCGTGGATACGCTGCGATTTTTCATATAGGCTATGAAATTCTGTGTACATCCAGGCGAGAATCTAGCTGGAAGAATTTGTTTTCAAAGATATATGGAAGATCGTTGGCTATCCGACGCCAAAAGAGACGATACAGGCCCCTGCCATCTTTGTGAGGACCCCACGAATCGCAACGCGGGCATGATACGTGCGCTTGGTGAGTTCAACTTTGATTGCCTGCATCATTATTACAGTGAGAGTTGTATGCGAATCGGAAAAACAAAACTCTGTCCGGCAGCGGGGTCACGAGTGGTCTCCATTGTCTGCGCTATTAGTTACGTCATTCTAAACGTCCTATCAAAGCTCGCGCACCATTCGCTACGTTCTTAGTGACGTCGCCCCTGTCGTCGCAGCCATGGCGCTGAGCCCAGACGCATAAGTTTCTCCTGAAACATTCCACATGGGTATGCCACGGACAACTCTAGGAGAGCCCCGTCGGGGCGAAAGTGAGAGAGCCCGCATTCGTCGGGCCATTGGTGCTGTCCTGGCACAAAAGCAGGCCCGAAAGGCAAGTGGCAGCAGCAACTGCGTACCCATGATAGAGTGTACTAGAAGTGTTGAGGGGCACGACCGCGGTGGTGCCGCCTGATGCCTTCCGCGTTGCCCGTAGTGGCCGGGATCTACGACGGAAAACTTTTGGTCTGTCTGTCTGTCTGTCTGTCTGTCTGTCTGTTTGTCTGTCTGTACATTTGTCT